ACACCAGAACTGCACACAATACGCCAGGTGAGGTCTCACAAGAGCAGAGTAGAGGGGCAGGATCACCTCCTTTGACCTGCTGGTCACACTCCTTTTGATGCAGCCCAGGATACGGTTGGCTTTCTGGGCTGCAGGTGCACACTGACGCCAGCTTAAGTTTCTCATCGACCAACACCCCCAAGTCCTTCTCCGCAGGGCTTCTCTGAATCTCTTCTCTGACCAATCTGTAGCTGTGCTTGGGATTGCTCCGACCCAGGTGTAGGACCTTGCACTTGACATGGTTAAACCTCATGAGGTTGGCATCAGCCCACCTCACAATATGTCAAGGTCCCTCTGGACGGCATTCCTTCCCTCCAGGGTATCAACTGAACCACACAGCTTGGTGTCATCGGCAAACTTGCTGAGGGCGCACTCAATCCCACTGTCCATGTCACCAACAAAGATGTTGAACAAGACCGGTCCCAACACCGATCCCTGAGGGATGCCACTCGTTACTGGTCTCCAGCTGGACATTGAGCCATTGACCACAACTCTTTGTGTGCGGCCATCCAGCCAGTTCTTTATCCACCGAGTGGTCCATCCATCAAATCGATGTCTCTCCAATTTAGAGACAAGGATGTTGTGTGGGACAGTGTCGAACGCTTTGCACAAGTCCAGGTCGATGACATCAACTGCTCTACCCCTATCCATCAGTTCTGTAGCCCCATCATAGAAGGTCACCAAATTGGTCAGGCAGGATTTCCCCTTAGTGAAGCCATGCTGGCTGTCACCAACCACCTTGTTGATTTTCATGTGCCTTAGCATGCCTTCCAGGAGAGCCTGCTCCAAGATTTTGCCAGGCACAGAGGTGAGACTGACTGGTCTGTAATTCCCCAGGTCATCCATTTTCCCCTTCTTGAAAATGGGGGTTATATTTCCCTTTTTCCAGTCGTCGGGAACTTCACCCGACTGCCATGATTAAATACCTACAAGCATAAAATATTAAAGCATTAAAATATCTGCAAGCATTGCAAAAATTGCTGCCTTTAACTGCCCCATTTAAGTCCATTTCTCAGAATTCATTGCTCAGGACTTCCCAGCTCCATGGAGACGTGACAAAATTTTCCTTCACTAAGAAACTGACCACTCTCCACTCTGCAAGGAAACAAGCATTACCTAGAAGAAAGGGTATTTTTTCTTTTATGGTTTTTATTCCTGTTGACTGCCTATGAAAGGTTTCAAAGTTGTCATTTGCAGGTTTGAACATCTTTCTTGTTCCAAGCTTTCCGGATATGCTGATGAAGTGGTCCGTGATCCAGAATGTAACTCATTATTAACTGGAAAGCCAGGTAAGAAATGGAGCATTAAACTTTTTGAAGCCTGTGTAATTTGCCACAGGCCAGCATACGCTGAACAAGCCATTTCTATGATTTTACACCTAAACACATAAAATTGATCAGTTATGGAAGAATGACAAGACAAGGTTCAGAAGGTGGCTGAGATCCCCTACTCATTCTTGTGGTACAAGCCCCAAGCTTAACTACAGTGGCTCATGATAACAGTGTATCATTTTTCTCATATGAAGGAAGTAGATCAGGTGACATTGGTAAAATTCTCCTTGTCAGATGTCTCCCCTTTCTGTTTCTCAGAATATTGTCAATATCAAGAAGTTAATTGGAAGCACAATGCCAAGTCCTACACATAAGTATTCTGTCACTGTTTTACCTACTGCATGGTACAAAGAATAATTGTAAAATCAGGGTTTGCTTCCAATATAACTTTGTGTAGCTTGACAGATAGTGTTTTCTAATCTGTGAGTAGGTAGCACACAAACCAGACTTTTAAAATGGCAATTTAAAATACAAATCTTATCCAGTGAGTCTACAACTGATTGTGCCAATAAAAACTGCTTTTAATTCTGCTGGTGAGGTCTTAAAGAAGAGTCCAACAGTGACCAACCAATGCACTGCAATTTAGGCATCTCACCTAGAAACAGCATGAAGTGACAGCCAAATAACGACTCCTCCTCAGAGCTGAGGCTGAAACTAAACATCCAGCATTGAAATTTGTCAAATAAGAGGAGCAGCTCCAGAGAAATAAAGCAGCACACCTGCCTCTCTACTTTCCTACTTAGGGCTTTGCATGACCATGCCTAATACTCAAGAGCAAAGCTACCAGAATTTAACATCAACTGAAAAATAACACACAAGGAACTCAGCCTCAGCAAAGCTAACTGCCCCTACCAAAGAGGTGTCCAAAGACACACTGAATTCCTGCAACTGCTTTGGCAAACTCTCCCCCGCTCCCACATTTCTTACAGAGACTTTGCCCTCTCGGCTGTAAACCCGAGACTATCCATGTGGAAACATCCCAAACGCCCCTGCACCGGCCTTGCCACCAGCCCCAGCTACCCGTGGGGCAGCCAGCGGGGAAGTGCCAGCCAGGGAGCAAAGAGGGGAGGCACTTCCAGACCCCGCCGCGGCAGACCCCAGCGACAAGGAGGGAGACAGCAGCCGGTCCGGTCCCCGCGCCACCGCACCCGGTAGAGCCCAGCCCGCCGATATCCCCCTGCCTCACCGGCCGCGCTGCCCCGCAGCCGCTCGGGGACGCCCCGCAGGTCTCCATGCAACCCCCTGAAGATCTCGTGCAGCCGCTCCAGGTGCTCCGAGGAGCCGGGGCCGCGGCCCGCCATAGCAGACAGCCACCTCCCGCCCTGCTACGGCTGCTACCACCCCCTACCCCTTCACAGCCCCGCTCCCTCGCGAGGCACTTCCGCCATCGGCGGCAGCTGGGGCCTCCCCATGGCCGCCCCGAACGCCGCCCGACCGCAAAACCGCCTGGCGACGCCGTCGGAAGGTTCACAACCCGCCGCGGCCTCCTCCCTGCGGGAGCCGGGAACTGCAGCACGGCTGAGGGAGACAGTGCTCGCCGGCGCCCGAGAGCGGCAGGCGCGGTCCTAGCCTACCGCGAGGAAGGGGCCTCGAGGCACGCACTGCCTGCTGGGAGATGTAGTCTCCCCTGGGAGGCGGCGGAGCGCAGGGAGCAGCGCGGCTCACCACCCCCAGCCTCCTGCTTCTAATGTTCTCTGGGGACGATGAGAGCGAGCGCGGCTGGACCTACCGCCGCGTGTCCCCGGCCCTCAATGCGTACTAACGTGTGCATCGTTTCATGCGTTTTGTTAGGGTTAGTGTCACAAACTAAGAGGCTGTGCAAACCTATGCGGAATGTCCCCCCAGGCCGCCGCCCCCGCCCTTTCTCTTCAGAGACTTCTCCGCCTATGAACTGGGCAGCGCAATTAGAGCGGCACTCCTGAGTTGTCCCGAGGGTCCTGCGCTGCCCGGGGATAAAAATGCAGCAGGCTCCTCGGTAGAATCATAGGATAGTTAGTGTTGGAAAGGACCTTAAGATCATCTACTTCCAACCCCCCTGCCATGGGCAGGGACACCTCACACTAAACCATGTCACCCAAGGCTCTGTCCAACCTGGCCTTGAACACCACCAGGGATGGAGCATTCACAACCTCCCTGGGCAACCCATTCCAGTGCCTCACCACCCTAACAGGAAAGAATTTCCTCCTTATATCCAATCTAAACTTCCCCTGTTTAAGTTGTAACCCGTTACCCCTTGTCCTATCACTACAGTCCCTAATGAAGAGTCCCTCCCCAGCATCCCTGTAGGCCCCCTTCAGATACTGGAAGGCTGCTATGAGGTCTCCACGCAGCCTTCTCTTCTCCAGGCTGAACAGCCCCAACTTTCTCAGCCTGTCCTGTAGAACCGGCCGCCCTCCTTCTCCCGGCGGGGGCACACCCGCGGCAGGCAGCGGGAGCCGCGGGGTGTCCGGTGCGAGAAGACCCTGGAGCAGCTGCCCCGCTGGTCAAAGAACAGGCCACGCCGGGACCACAAGGGGCCGCTGCTGAGATGCTCTGAGGGGCTGCCTGCTGCTGGCGGGGCGGGCCCAAGTGACAGGGGCGTGGCCCAGGGGACTGGGGCGGGCCCGGGGTTGCCGCCAGCACCAGCAGTGAGCATGGAGCGGGTGGCGGGAATGGCCACATGCTGGGGAGCGGCGCTGGGGGCTGTCGTCTCCGTCCCCGTCCTCTTCCTCGTGGCAGCGCCCTACATCAGGTTTGTTTTACAGAGCGCGGCCCTAGCCCTTCACACTTGCGCTGGTAGCCACGGGCACCCCGCCGCACCGCACGGCGGTCAGGTCTACCTGCGTGCTTGTGTGACGAGTATTCACGCGTCTGCAGCTCCAGCTCCTCAGTAGCACTAACGCGCTCGAGGCAGGAGCTGGGGCTCGGCTCAGCCCTGCCACCGCCGGCAGCGCCTGCTTCGGTGGTTTCCCCGGCCTCCGAGCCGCCCGGAACTCACTCTGGGGCCTGCCTCGGCCCGCGGACCCGGCCGGGTGCGGAGAAAATCGGACGGAGTGCCGGGGACCCCGGGGGTGGAGCCCGCCGCCTGCTCACCGCTGCGCGGCAGAGCCCATTGGGCCCAGGCTCCGGAGTCGGTGGCGGCAGCCAATGGGAGCCGTGGCCCCACTTGTCGCCAGGGCGGGGCCGGGCCGGGTCACGGTCCTGTTTGTAAAGCGGGGAGGGGGTCTGGGGGCTAGATCCTGGTAGCCCGGGCACGGCACGATCGTGATCGGCCACTTCACGTAACGGCGCCTGTGGCTTCCCGGTTAATCCTACCGTTGGGGTGAAACGTGGGGCTCTGGGTGCTCATCACTGACCCACATCCCCTGGTCCCCTCGTCGAGGGGGGGCTGCTGCCCTTTATTGCAGGAGGTATGTCGCCGGAGGACAGTGTAAGTCAACAGCTAAGCTGGACGGGAAGGTGGTGGTAATCACAGGAGCCAACACAGGCATCGGGAAGGAGACTGCCAGAGACCTCGCACGAAGAGGCAAGTCCCCAGTTACCAAATAGGCATCCACGTGCAGCTGATGGCCGTGCGCCTGGGTGTTACTAGTGCCTCTTTGAGATCTAAGGGAGGAGTTTTGTGCTAACATTGGAATCCAGAGTTACTTAAGACAAGCCTGAGTGTTGCTCCTCCAGAGGTTGTGACCACCAAGGTGCAAGTCCCCAGTTCCCTGGCTGTTTTCATTACTTGAACTCCAAAAGTATTCCTTGTGACATGAAAATGCTCTGCACTGCAGATGTTTTGAGAGGACTGGGGAAGATGCCAGCATCACTGTATTCTGTTTGCATGAGGCTGGGAAATGCCCTAGGTCCACTGCTGTGTGCTTTAGTTATTCATGTTTCAAGCTATTTTGGTATACATGCTTTCTGGGTGACTGGTAAGGAGATTAAACTTCCTGTTCATAATCTGTTTAGAAGTTACTCTGGCTGGAATCCAAGTATCTTCTTGTGCTCCTGGCTTGGTATTCCTGTTACAGGGGCAGATACAACCGTACTGTACCAGTGTGGTGGTACCTGCTCCTGATGTTGGAGTGCCTGGGCAGAGGCACTCCAGATGTGCCATTTTCCTGTTCTGAAAACAGTTTTGGGCTGGGTGGAAGCTAATAGTTTAGTAGAAAAGGCTTTGTCTCTCACTGCTGCTCCCTTGACTGATGCCAATGCCCTAAATAGACAACACATTGTTTGTAAGCACTGTGCGTAGCCAGCTTATCTTAGCCTCCATCATCCAGTGTGCTCCAGTGATCTCAGCTTCTGTTCCTGTTTTTTTACCCCCCTTGCAGGAGCAAGGGTGATTGTCGCTTGCAGAGACATAAGGAAGGCAGAAGCTGCAGCCAGTGAAATCCGAGCTGAGACAGGGAACCAGGAAGTCATTGTGAAAAAACTGGACTTGGCCGATACAAAATCCATCCGGGAGTTTGCTGAGAAATTTCTAGCAGGTACAGTCTCTAGATCCTTCTTTTCAGTGAGACTATTTTACCAAGGACTGCTGTCTGCTCTTCTAGCAGATGCCAAGTCCCTGACCTGCGTATCTCTACTGCATTGGGTACCGCAGTTCACAGCAGGGGCTTGACAGACTATGCGCTAGTTTGTGGTAGGAGCCTTATCATTTTATTGTGGTGCTGTAGCTGCAACTCAAGACAGGTGTGAGGTTTTTTGGCTGACGTGTCATCCTCTTGTCTGTCTCTGGTCTCTGTTTCCCTGTTTAAGAATGTCATTTCTTGCAGAGGAGAAGGAACTCCATATTCTCATCAACAATGCTGGGGTAATGTTATGCCCTTACTCCAAGACTGCTGATGGCTTTGAGATGCACCTGGGAGTGAATCATCTTGGTAAGGCCAGTGGAGTCTTGTTTGCATTCAAGGTCTGTGGCAGAATAGCAGAGGAAATTCTGCTTTTACATTTTCTCTTCCTCAACCTTGCTTCTTGGGGAAGGATGGAAGGCCAGAGTCAGAGTTCTGGAGATGCAGTGCAATGTATTTGCATGCACCCAGCTTAAGTGTCTACATGTTACCTGGGACATTTGAAACGTATGACTGCACTAGCTTTTTGAAGCTGAGGAGCAGAACTTATTGGCCCAAAAAAAGTTTAGCTGTTGATTCAGGGGGGTTGTCTTTGCCCTGGACTTGAAATGAGGGCAGCAATAAGATACAACATGTAAATAATATGTCGTGAGTACTTCAAAATTCCAGCAGGAGAAACGTTTAGAGAAGGATGACATTTTCTCTCACCCCTAGGTCATTTTCTCTTGACCTTCTTACTGCTGGAGCGTCTGAAGCAGTCTGCCCCAGCCCGCATAGTGAACGTGTCCTCACTCGCTCATCATGGTGGCCGAATCCGCTTCCATGATCTCCATGGTGAGAAGTGCTACAACCGCGGCCTCGCCTACTGTCACAGCAAACTGGCCAATGTGCTCTTCACCCGGGAGCTGGCAAGGCGGCTGCAAGGCAAGTCCCAGAGGAGAGCAGAGTGTACCTTTGTTCCTTGATAAATGAGTAGTTTAAGCCCCGGACAATAAGTCTTGGAAAAGCCCCGCTCTATTCATGTGTTAATCCCATGATGGGTGTTCCAAGTTTATATGCCTCAATGCTCACTGTGTCACTGTCTCTTCATGGGTTTCCTAGAGGAGTTCTTGGCTTGGCTACAACTCAGGCCGTTACCTCCTTTGGAGCCTGTACAAAACTACCGCTGGTTTGGTTAAGGGGTCAAATGCATCCATCACATCTACCGAGTAGTAACTACAGAGCACTTTACTTACTATCCCTGTATCCATGCCTGGACTCCTCCTTTAGGTTGTCTGCAGGTGGAATTGAGGAATATATTACCTTTATATATATATATATATATATATATATATAAAGGTAATTTGATACATGCAGATTTGTTCTGGACTACTTTCTTTTGCCACAGGCACTAAAGTCACAGCAAACGCTCTCCATCCTGGTTCTGTCCATTCTGAGCTGGTCCGGCATTCATTTGTAATGACGTGGCTGTGGAATATATTCTCATTCTTCTTGAAGACACCTTGGGAAGGAGCTCAGACCAGTATCTACTGTGCAGTAGCAGAGGAGCTAGACTCTGTGACAGGACAGTATTTCAGGTGGGTACAAGTTGATGGAGTGATATAGTGTGGAAGGCAACTTTATTTGCTGAGGAAAATGAGACTTCATTAAGGAGAGACTGGGTAAGAGGCTGGCTGATGAGATTGAGGGTGACAAATACTAGAACATTACCCGTTCCTGGTCTGTTGCAGTGGATATCATGTTGGAAGGAATCCCTGACTATATGCAGCTCTACACAACAGCAAGTCCTTTAGTGCTGGGAATATCACTGTACTGAAACTGTAGGAATGGCTGTCATGTGCTCAGGGCTTTAATCCTGATCTGCCTGAGATTTGGGCAAATCACTTTCAGCAGAGCTGTCTAGTTAATGAGGGCACTTGAGTCAATCCTGGGAAAACTGCTTTGGTTCTGTCTGCAGTTGTACCCCACAAAAGGAGCAGAAGGGGCCTGTGCTCCCAGGGCACTGGACAGGCTGGTGGAGCTGCAGAGCTAGGTGAGATTTTCAGGACTGGCATGTAACAAAACAACTTGATTCTCCAGTGTGACAGACCCATCAGCTGGGAGGAACTCCTGCTGGGACACATGCTCTGTCCTGCAAACTTTCTTATGTAGCTCCTACTACAAACCCTGACTTCCTTGACTTGCTCCAGGACCCTGTGTTTTCCCCTCACCAAAACTACTTCCCAGAGCAGTTCCAAGCCATCATCACCCTAGATTTGAAGACTGCCATTTGAACAGATGTATGTCAGCTTCCCACTGGGTGTACAGCAGTGTAGCAATACTGGTTTTGGGGAAATGAATGTGAAAATTTATCTTTTTTTCCCCACATGGATACTGTTGGAGCCTTTGTGTCTGCAGAGCTTTCCTCTTGTGATATGTGACCAGATTAGTCTTTGTAATGGCTTTGTCTGATCTTCACTTGGGAGTTTGTACCATCTTAATCAGACTTGAATATATAAATAGATGTCTTAATCTTTCATGGGTGATTGTCTGTCCCAGGATATAAATGGATCATTTATGTGCTGGAATACAGAAAGCTTTAGTGGATTTTAAACTCATAAAAGAAAGGAGTTCTGGGCTTGGTGGGAAATGGATACCTTCAACAGTAATTCACAATTCACATTGGACTACCCTAAAATCCTCTTCACTTTCCAGGCAATAGAATATAAAGCACAAGTATGGAAAAGAATTTGCATGCCACAGTGTCCTGGGTTTAGCAGTACACACAGCATGACATACAGCAAGACAGGTGGAGTCCACCAGAGTACTTTCAGGAACATCAGAGACTGTGCACTTGGAGCTCTAAAAGCACTAGGCTGGATAGAGAGTTTAGAAGACGAAATTTCCTCTGTTCTCTTAAACTCCCATGTTATTGCAGCACCTAGCATTACAGAGGAGAACACATGATCACTGTTCCATACAGAATGCTGTCTGACTGCAGGAGCTGAAAGGAAAGGAGCCCCAGTTCAGAGGATAATGGAAAAGGGGATAACCACACATGGTTATTGCAGTATTGCTGTTCTGGGGCAGCTTTACATTTCATACCACAGCAATATAGTAGGAAAAATAGTTTAGAATGAAGGGCTGTTTGAGTGGGGTGGGTTGTTTTTTTTTTTGTAGTGTCTGCTAGAAGAGGTGCTCCTGAGAAGGCTGGTTAGCATTTATAGCCCTTCTTGGTGTTAATGAGAATGTACACTGAAGAGTATATAGTAGAGCATATACAGGTTTCTTTAAGAGTTGAGACAACAGACAATGTACTTGCCTACCAATTCTTGGTGCCATTAGGAGAGACTTCCCTAGCCAACTGGAAAGAAAGCTTTCTCAAGATGGGTTAGCACCAACCCTTGCTCATTTGCTGGACAGCCTCCCACACTTCCTTCAGTTGGTTTTGAAATTAAGCTGGTAGAAAGCAACTGCCTTATCTTAACACAGACATTTCAGTGTGCTAACATGAATGGAGACCTTTAGCTTAATAAAAATAAAACATGTACCTCTTGCAGTGACTGCCAGCCAGCATACGTATCTCCATGGGGTCGGGATGATGAAACAGCAAAGAAGCTCTGGAATGTGAGCTGCCAGCTTCTCGGCATCCACTGGGACTGAGCAGCGCAGACCTCAAGTGTGCACATGGCTGAGGCTGAGTCCAGCCATACTTCTCCTGGGAAGAGCACTGCTGAGAGACCTCAAGACTAGAACTCCAATACTTCTGCTGCCCTAATGATGGTTATATGGACACAATCTAATGTGAATTTCTCGAGTATTACACTTCAGGATTGAGATTTATAAGCAACCAGTTCCCTTCCTAGCTGGAGAATTAGAGCACTGACACAGGGAGCAACCTTTGCTTGGTATTTCACACACCAGGCAGAGGCTATTGTCCTCTGGCTTCAGAACAGAAATGGAGGTTTGCAGTCTTAGGTTTAGATTATCAGGTAGTCTAAAGAATTACCTTTATCCCCCCTCCCAATATTAGTAAATTTGTAGGATTCCCAACTTATTATCTATGAGGTTATTTTCACTTCCTACTATTTGACCTGTCAGAGTGAAAGTACTTTAGGCATTAGATTTTTGGCAATTCCATGCAATACAGATGATCTCAAGCATACAGAAATAGGTGCTGGCCTTTTTGCGCCAAGCATTATGTGAAGTTTGTAAGTGGGCTCAACTTTTTTTCTCAGTATTGTCTGCTGGACCCTAGCCACCTAAGTATCTTGACCCCAACTGCACACTGATGGCAGTAAGATAACAGAGGGTTGGCGTATCTTTTGAGAACCCAGGTCTCAGTGCAGGTGACTGGGAGGTTAAAAGCTGCAGGAGTGCTGCAATTGTGCATAGGCAAGTTATCATACTAAAAAAGATTAACACCTCTCCTGTGAAGCACGTGAGATGTGAGCAAAGATGGTGTAAAAGTTGTCACAGTAAACCCCCCCAGCTGCACTTTAGATGACTTTAGAACCTATAAAGGAGAGCAGAATGAGTAACATCTCACCTGTGTTAAAAATACTGAAACTACTTCAGCTGAGACTTTAGCTTGACATGCCAGCAAACTATCTACAGCTGAATAGTTGAAGCAGAGGTCAAGACTGTCTTGACAGAGGTCAAGTTAGCTACAGGTCAGGAAAGCAAGCCTTGCACAGAAATACTTACATTTGTCTACCCAGCCATTACAGACTGTGGCTGGCCGAGGCTGCCAGTCAGGCCCTGCAGTACTGTGCAGCCTGCACTTCCAAAAGGCAGCTGTCAATCCATGCAGTAGTGGGACTGCTCCCTTGATGCTCCCTAGTGCTACTTCGATGCTAGACTATGATCTATCATCAGCTTGTTTCTGAAAGAGTTAAGCAGTTAGAAAACAAGTGCCACAGCTCGTAGGAGTATCTACTTCTGGAAAAAAAAAAACAACCAACCCAGCTTGGAAGTGTTTGGACTTGCACATGAGCATGTCACTGTGACCAACTGCCAATTATGGGGAACAAATGCTCATTTTATGATTAATTCTTTCTGCCTGGATGCCATCTATGCACAACAGTCCTGTGCTACCTCTGAGCAATACTAAATAAAGCCATTTTCCTTTTACAATAGAAAACTCTGTCTTCCTTCAGAAATTTACATGGTGTTGCTGTTATCTGCACCTGCCTTACTAATGTAGAGAACTCTATTTAGGCAACATTTTAAAGTCCCTTTGTGTTTCTCCCTGTCACTCTACTTTTTGTCCTCTCTTTTTAGGCTTAATCTCCAATATGAAGCTAAATCCACAACTATAGTGTAGCAGTAGAATGGTACTCAGCATTGCAGGCTTGGTGTGTCTTCTCTGTGTCTATGATCTTCCAAGTGGCTTTCAGGAGCAGTAGAAACCATTATAAAAAAAAAAACCAAAAAAAAAAAACAGGCAGAAAGGCTCTAGGCTGAAATATTTTGCCCTTGCGGGTCAGTGCTTTTTCTCAAAGAAGTCTGACTGTAGATTTTATATAAGGCACATAACTACACGTTTCCAGAGACACACCTCCACTCTTTTTGACCTTGGGCAAGTCACTTATACTTTCTTCTAAGCTGATCTGTAAAATGGAGGAACTAAAGCTCATTTAGCTGTCTCAAATGGAGGCTTGCAGGGGAGAGTTTGATTAACTTTCAAAGCTCTCCAAAGAGGATTACTGGTTTGTGAGAGTACACATATGGGGCCGAGCTAGCTACTGGGAGGGCTTCTAAAGAAGAGGTATTTCAATTGATCTAAATGTTGAGAACACTGAGGCAGAGAGATTTTGCATGACAGAACAATTCTTCCCCTTCAAATTACTCTGCTAAGCACAGCCAAAACAAAATACAGATCTAGAAAAGAAATCCACAGGTTATGCTGAGATAAAAAAGCAAACAGCAGATATGTGAACAGTCATAATACTTTATTCTCTTTTTTTAAATTGTAAACAAACCTTGGTCATTAATAGAGAAGTTCTTACTAACTGGCAGTACTCAATCCCTTTTAGATGCTCAAAAATTCAAAGCCCCTTGTTAATAGCACTAGTTGTGACACAAGGCAGTTAGTCAGGATCAAAATTCCAGTTCTGCTGGTAAGAGAAAGATCTCTAGATTCCAAGTTAGGAAAATCAAATTACAACAAATGCTATATAAAGTGCATGAGGTACAGTGCAAAATGGTCAGGAGGAAAGGCAGGTACAGAACTGACTGGTCTGCATGACAAACCCCACTCTGTGCTCTACAGAGCTGAAGGAACATTAGCAAAACACTAGGCATTGCAGCAGTGCTGATCTGGATACCACAAACAGTAAAACCTCTGCATAATTAGAGATTTGGAAATGACTGAAGACATGGATAGCGCCAGGCTTTAGGAATAGCCTAATGACTGTAATCTGAAGGAAAGCTAGGTCAGCCTGGTCAAGAAACAAAAGCTTTCATTAGTACTGCTCACTAATGAGATAACGCAAATCTGTGCTCAGGAGATTCTGAATGCTAACTGTGGTCATTTCCAACTGCTTTGCTCAGAGACACTTCTAGCCCTGCTCTAGTGAGCAGAGCACCTCCAAGAGAGGTGTTTGCCTCAGTGGGGTGCTGCTCATGAAACGCTAAAGGAGGTGCCGGCCAAGTCCTTTCTGAACCCATGGAAGTCCGTTCTGTCACTACAGTGAGCTTTGGGATAGTGCAAAACTTCATTTGACAGTTATGTATTTATTTGACAGTTTATGTACTAAAACTATTAATAGGTATATTACACTTCAGAAAACCTATTGTTTCTTCTTTTGTTAAAAAGTTTAGTTTACTTACAAAGTGAACTAGTTTTCCTACTTCTTGTGCTGAAGTACATGTAAACAACAAGCACAAACTCTTGTTCAGTACCTTGCTTTGTTCTGTTTCTTCCAGAAGGTCCTACTACTCTCTACCATTCTCAAGTCCTAGTCACAGTTGCAGAGAAGCAGCTGCTTTTTTCAGCATCCTTGAACACAGCCATTACACAAAGATTCCTACTTTTTCATAAATCTGAGTTAACCTAACACTTCCAGAGCAAAGCCTGTCAATATAGTCTATACAGTAGGTCAAGTTAATAAAAATTCAGTCTGGTGTTCAATTGCACCTGACAGCAACAGAGCTTTCTAGTAAGAAAGAAATAAATCCCTGTGTGACAGGGATACAGACGGCCTGTTAAATTCTACCACAGCTTGCTTTATCTGTAATTTCTCCTATACCTGATGAAAAACTGTGGAAGTTTACTGGCAACTGTTTAGTGATAAAGCTGCATTGCAACAGTTTATTTGATATTGTCATAGCAAAGAATGAGGTGCATGATTTTTCAACTATTTTAAAGTATTATTTTCCCTTTGTACTCCCGTTACAGGATATGCCCTTTATAACTTCATTCATCTAATAAGGGCTCAAGTACCATATGTATGGCATACATCAGACAGTGTGACTGGTAAGTAGAAACCTGCCATGGAGAATTGCTTCCTACCTTTTCAAGAGAACTCAAGAAACTGGCCACACTGTACTGGGGGGGGGGGGGGGGGGGGGGGGGGCAGGGGAGAAGAAAAAGAAGGGAAGAAGAAGAAAAAAAAAAAAAAAAAAAGGACTAGCAATGGTTTGTAGAGAGGCTTAAACAAAATCTCTGCATTTCAGTCTTTGTAAAAGAAGATGTCTCCAATCTCAAAAAAGCTTACAGGAAACCCATAATCACAAGAAGTTTTATACTCCAGGCTACACTGAGTTGATGAGATTTTACTGTTCTATTTAGGATTTCTGGATTAAAAATAAAAAATATGTAATAAAATTCAGTGACTTAAAAAAAAAAAAGGCCCAAACCCCAACACCTCCTCCCTCCCAACCCAGAAAGAGAAGTACTCACCTAAATTCTTGTTTGTTCACTTTGAAACTGCCCCCAAAAAAGACAGCCAAAAAACACCCTGAGGTAGTGACTGTCAAAATACAGGACTGGCACTTGTAATTTAGCTCCCTTCCTTTCACCAGAGCACATTAGCAGCATCCATTTGCCACCAACATCAGTCAAGAGATTTCCATGTTACCAAGAGACTGCTAAGCCACATGCCTTTAAGCCATCTTGAAGTCTTGCCTCTCTGTATGGTGGTGAATGTCAATCACTTATTTCTTCCTAGTGCCCTGGGGAAGTCGATTTCTGGTTTTGGGCTGGTGTGCCAGGAGCCACTGGGTACAGATGGCCTTCACAATGTCATCTCTGCTGCTCTCAGCTAGCTGTCGCACATGTTGCACTAGCTGCACTGCTCTGGTCTTTTCCTGCCTCACTGAGACAAGGTAGGCAGAACGCAACTTGTTGCACATCACATAGGCCTGGATCTGAAGCAGAAGAGGCAATCAGAACTCAGTTAGAAAGCTGTAGTAAACTAACAGCATTAGGTTCAACAACATTCACTGGAAATACATAGTTCAAAACCACGTTGTACAAGGTAGTAGCAGCTTATTATGAAGTGGAATATGGCATGGATCAGATCTCAGTGTAAAAGATGGATAGACAGCTGTATTTTATTGTTGTGGAAACCCCTTTTACTGTGTCACCATGTAATTAGAATCAGGGATCCTATTTTGTGCATGAATTACCATGCCCTCATAGGGAGTTTGTCAGTTGGAGCAGGCCAGAGGACAGTCACAAATCTCAAGATTTTATTCCCAGCTAGACCACACAGGATCTACAACAAGCCACAAATGCTGAGCCACAGCCTCTTCCTCCGTAAACATGCACCTGCAGTTCACAAATTTATCTGTGACTCTCCAGAGGCATGGCTGGCTGGTATGAAAGCTAATGAAGAAACAAAGTAGTTTAACCCTTGCTTCCTCTAAGAAAAGAAGTATATCAGAATTTGAGAAGTTTTATTATTTAACTCTTGATCACAATAGAAATAGTATACTCCTGAAACAGTAAGCTGACATGGTCATCTTGGAGGTATGTTGATCCTCATTAGCTGTCTGCCATCACTAGAAATTTACATTGGCACCTGAGACATTGGATAACAAAACCACAAACTTTCATCTCACAGCTCTACAATCACAAACACCACAGCCCTGAGGAATTCACTGCGGTTTTTACAATCTAGGAAGTGACCTTCAAATCTTTGGCTTGAATGAGGATGAGAGAGAAGATGGTAAAAGAGAACACGTAGGCTACAGTCCAAGATTGGGCTGTTTAGCTCTTGCTAAAGGAGCTCCTCTGTTGTACTTTTACTTACCTTGTTTTCATCACTGTCCATATCCTGAATCAGATTATCAAGATCCTGTAATCCAAAGAAGGGAAAAGGTGTTCACATTTAGAGTGACTATGATTTGCAAATCTTCAACCCATCAAGCACCAAAACCCTGCATAAAGGAAGGGCAGTTGAGATCACAGCTAGATGGTTATGTTGTCCCAACTGCGAGAGCTGCAGATGTCAAAAATGCAGACAAAGTCTAATTCCTCTCTTTATCACAGACATGGCATAACTTGCATAAGGCAAACCACACACTCCCACCTTTAAACAATGCATGTAGTACAGAGCCAGGAGATAACAAGGACTCACTAATAGAGCAGCACTGGATGGTTTCCCTGTAGCCTTTCTTGTAGTGTAGCCTCCACTGTACCCATTTTATTTCAAAAGGGACACAATGCATGAAGAATTACCTCAGCAGGAATGTTCTTGAACTCATTTAGACAGTTTAGGATAATGTTATCCCCATCATTTTTTGCTGCAACTCCGGACTCATTGACACACTTGAGGAGCTGCCGAATCTCACTGTACTTCTGCTGCTTCACCAGCTGCTTGGCTACTTTGCCGTACACTTCCATAGCCTCCAGCTGGAAGTCCTAGGGGTAGTTGGTACATCAAAGCAACACATTAAAAGTTTTCAGCAGGTTTTTGCCCAGTGCATCTGTACAGCTGAGACAATCTCTCTTGAAGACAATATCACACCATGCTACAGAATATCGAAGCTCTTTTGGGGGCCTCTGATTTGAAAGTCACCCTTGCTCAGGGCTGGCTTAAAGGTTTCCTGTAATCAGACTGGTGACACTCAGTTTTGCTGCGGAGCAAGAGCACTGTTCCCATCTCCTTTCCAGGGGTGGCAAAATAATGATTTCTTTTTACCTTTGGCAAAAGATCTTTCCTAGGTCCCTCCCCACCTCTCCCTCACTTAGCAAGCTCCCACTATATTCTTCCAGCCACTCCACCAGCAGCCCACCCTTCATGTGCCCTTACAAACAGAAGGCAACTGACCATCATACACCTCCCATATGAAGGAAGAGATGATAAAGCTGTAGACTGATCCTGCCATGAATAAGGCAAGAAAATAAAGAAAAAAGAAAGAAGCAGAAGCGATGCCAGGCAGCTGGATGTGCTGCTCCAGTTTTAATGGGGGGTAGTGGCTGCTGTTGCTGCCAAGAAGTGCTGTTTTTCTAAGGCTCTCCATCTCACTACCAACAGGCATTCTGCCTTGCACATTCTGACCCCAAAATGGGAGCAGAACCTGCCATATCCACAAATACTCTTCCAGTGTGCCACCTCTGTCCAGAAGTGGCCCTGATATACCCTCTGTCTCAGCTAACTGCACTGCTTGAAGCAGTATCTTTTAGCAGCTACTAACATGGATGAGAAACACACAGAAAAGTTTGGAGCCTCATGAGCTGTGATTACTAATGGGCACCTCAACTTCTACCCAGGCAAGAGGAAGGAGAGGACCCCCTATGAGATTTTCCAGTTAATTAGTTTTGCTGTCAGCCAGGAGAATATAGTATAGAGACAGCCCTGGATGTATTTTATTCATTTTGTCATCGCATAGCTATCATGAACTGCAGAGAGGTACCAAGTCAGAGCTCTCCATTCACAGCAGTGATTGTGGTTTGCCAGAGTGAAGTCACTGAACAAGGTATACAGCAATGGAAAACATACATTAAATTCCACTGTAGGACCCAATTAGCTCACAAATGTCCCACTGAAGCAGCATTTTCATTTCCTTACTGAGTTTCCAAATACATGGATACTTAAGACCTGAACTTTTCTCACAAGAAGTTTTTCTTTTGGGGGATTAAACAGACATTATGCAAAAAAATCTTTTGCTTAAGCAATTTTTGCTTGCAGGAGTTACATTTATAATAGTAGTGCTTGTTATATCAAGTTTTTCCATACCTGAAGGACTCTAAATGCAATCCCAAAACCTTCTTCAATGTTCTTGCCTTCCAACATGACCTGAGAGGAAGAGACAATTTCGGGGATGCACACTCCTTTTTCATTATACAGTTAAATAATAATGCATTTCCAGATTCTGCCCAAGACAGAGGACAAAAGTCAATGCAATACTTCAGAGAACAGCACCACCCCAATAAGTAGGGCAAATATAGGGTCTACTGTCACACAAGTGATTTCCTGCGAGACACTGGGAAAGTTACGGATGGAGCCAAGATGAAGTTAAGAAAGGTTAGAATAAACAGCAGTATTTGCCTTGCTTCAAAACACAGTAGGTTGCATAATCAAAAGGCATGTTACTATTAGTATTTGGGATCATCTGCCCTTGAAAATCTGAACTTTGAGGAGAGGAGCTCCAAGTTCTCATGTGTTCTCTGCTACTTTGAGGAAAACCATGAATTTTTCATAAATGGTAGGTTGCATACATGCACAAGTAACCTACCCATGAAAACACCGAAAGGCTGCTCCAATGTTTCAATGTGTGTATCAAGTTAGTACTGTTGATGAAAAATAAAGCTGTGTTTGAAATAGCAAGAAGTACCTTGCAAGCAACATCCATTTTCATGTTATTGTTTCCAAAGAGTGTGGGCAAGGAGGAACCTGTCATTTGAGAGGTTCCTGAGCTCTCACATCGATGCAGGAACTTTGTTACTTCCATCTGGAGATCAACTGTATTGATGTGCCTAGACAGAGGAAAAAAAATCAGACTTTATTTTGAAATAGAAGTTCACACAAATAATAACCTTCCCTTTCTTGAACACATTTCAAAATCAGACATCTTCCCAAGGAATTATTATTTTAGTTACTTTTTGGCTTTGTCTTTAGTGTAGCCAAGTCTGCAGCACTGAGATACTTTCAGATCTGTGCAGTTATTATGCACCACAAGCTG